AAGACAGCAGCAAGAGCAGCGAACTTATGAACGTCATGGGCACGGGGATAGACCGTAGGCTGGCTAGCCTTAATAATTCTGTGGATGACCTAGGAGACCCGCACCCGTGAACATCAAAGAAGGTAAGCCGGATCAACCCAAAGTGCGTCCCCAGACACAGAAGCCGTGGTGCGCAAATAATGGAGAAGAGCCACAATCGGACACAAAATATGATGCACCCCCAGCCTAACCAACCAAGCATCCACAACCCAAGGACCCCTCCTGAAAGCAGCAGTCTCATCCTTTGCCAGAAAAGAAAGAGGCGGCTGCAAATGAACAAAACCATCCAGACGACCGAAAGAGCAGAAACCCCTGCGCTAGAGAGGAGCATGAAGCTCACTAACCCAGCCCCCAGAGGCCAATGCCAACAGAAAAAGAGCCTTGGAGAAACAATCCTGAACCGAAGGGGCCACAACAAACCGGGGAGAAGAAAGATAAGAGAGCACTCTGTCCAATGACCAGGATGGCTCAGGCGGCACATGAGCAGGCCGGAGGTGAAACAATGCCTGAGACAGCTTGCGAAACAGTGCAGAAGTAACATCGATACCGAAAGCAAGCTGAAGCGGCTCTGCCAACGCCGCACGATACGAGGTGACAGTGTTAGGCATAAGGTGATGGTCCTGGGACAACCAAAAGAGAAAGGACAACACCACCCTAACAGAAAGCGAAGTACAACGACGAAGACGCAGGAAGAAATGGAAGGACCGCCAGGAAACTTCATACTGCCACCGAGAAGAAGCCCTCAGGTTTGACACCAACAAGGAGGCAACCTGATCACCATAGAGATGATAATGGACTCGAGTCAAAAAACCCATACGCGAAGACTCGAGGAGAAGATCGAACCAGCCACGTGACGTACTGGCCCAATCTGCTGAAAGAGGTGGAGCCGCGGGAAAACCCTCGGGTTCGGACACCAAGCAAGCAGTGCCTGAAACCAAGGCTGGGCCGGCCACCAAGGGGCCAGAAGGACAACTCTCCCCTGGTAAATCTCCAAGCGAGTCAGGACCTACACAAAATCTTCATCTCTGTAAATATATATATATATATATATATATATATATATATATATATATATATATATATAACTGAAAACTCACACCCCAGAAGTGACTCGAACCCATACTCCCAGAAGCAACGCAACTGGTATGTACAAGACGCCTTAATCCACTTGACCATCACGACCGGACATAATGAGGTGATAGCCGAGGCTATTTGAACCACCCCACCGCCGGCACTCGGATAGTTATCTTGGGCATAGCATTTTACCAAATCACCTCATTCTTAGGGGCACACGTGAGGAACACAAATGCGAACAAGCCAGAATGGTCCCCTGGACAATATGCAACTGAAAACTCACACCCCAGAAGTGACTCGAACCCATACTCCCAGAAGCAACGCAACTGGTATGTACAAGACGCCTTAATCCACTTGACCATCACGACCGGACATAATGAGGTGATAGCCGAGGCTATTTGAACCACCCCACCGCCGGCACTCGGATAGTTATCTTGGGCATAGCATCCGAGTGCCGGCGGTGGGGTGGTTCAAATAGCCTCGGCTATCACCTCATTATGTCCGGTCGTGATGGTCAAGTGGATTAAGGCGTCTTGTACATACCAGTTGCGTTGCTTCTGGGAGTATGGGTTCGAGTCACTTCTGGGGTGTGAGTTTTCAGTTGCATATTGTCCAGGGGACCATTCTGGCTTGTTCGCATTTGTGTTCCTCACGTGTGCCCCTAAGAATGAGGTGATTTGGTAAAATGCTATGCCCAAGATAACTATCCGAGTGCCGGCGGTGGGGTGGTTCAAATAGCCTCGGCTATCACCTCATTATGTCCGGTCGTGATGGTCAAGTGGATTAAGGCGTCTTGTACATACCAGTTGCGTTGCTTCTGGGAGTATGGGTTCGAGTCACTTCTGGGGTGTGAGTTTTCAGTTGCATATTGTCCAGGGGACCATTCTGGCTTGTTCGCATATATATATATACATACATTTTTTTTTATTTTATTTATATATATATATATAGTGGATTTTCCTCATATATATATATATATATATATATATATATATATATAAGTATATTTTGGTAGCAGTCTTTCCTGTAGACATATATTATTAAATATGACCGAAAAAGTAAGATTAATAATTCTAACACGAATTTTCTCAATCTTTCGTACATTACGCTTCACTGTTGGAGGTAAATCAAAAATCAATTCTCCAAAATTAATTTTTATTTCTAGTCTGACGCGACACGGGCGCGTTTCGTAAAACTTATTACATTTTCAAAGACTTTAGTTCACAAATACACAACTGAATAGAACTTACGTATCTCCGATTTTATATCTACATTTGAGTGAGGTGGAAGGGGTGATGTGGCATTAACACAAGACAGAACAAAATGTGGTATTAATAGGGTATTAATTTCATCAACACAAGACAGAACAAGAGTATTAATAGGGTATTAATTTCATCAACACAAGACAGAACACGAAACAATGGATATTGAATAGAAGTGTTTGTAGAAAGCCTATTGGTCCATATTTCTTGATGCTTCTATATTGGAGCGGAGTCTTGAGGTGGGTAGAATATAGTTGTGCAATAATTGGCTGTTGATTGCTGGTGTTGACTTCTTGATGTGTAGTGCCTCGCAAACGTCAAGCCGCCTGCTATCGCTGTATCTATCGATGATTTCTGTGTTGTTTACTAGGATTTCTCTGGCGATGGTTTGGTTGTGGGAAGAGATTATATGTTCCTTAATGGAGCCCTGTTGCTTATGCATCGTTAAACGCCTAGAAAGAGATGTTGTTGTCTTGCCTATATACTGGGTTTTTTGGAGCTTACAGTCCCCAAGTGGGCATTTGAAGGCATAGACGACGTTAGTCTCTTTTAAAGTGTTCTGTTTTGTGTCTGGAGAGTTTCTCATGAGTAGGCTGGCCGTTTTTCTGGTTTTATAGTAAATCGTCAGTTGTATCCTCTGATTTTTGTCTGTAGGGATAACGTTTCTATTAACAATATCTTTCAGGACCCTTTCCTCCGTTTTATGAGCTGTGAAAAAGAAGTTCCTGTAAAATAGTCTAATAGGGGGTATAGGTGTCACCCCTTCCACCTCACTCAAATGTAGATATAAAATCGGAGATACGTAAGTTCTATTCAGTTGTGTATTTGTGAACTAAAGTCTTTGAAAATGTAATAAGTTTTACGAAACGCGCCCGTGTCGCGTCAGACTAGAAATAAAAATGAATTTTGGAGAATTGATTTTTGATTTACCTCCAACAGTGAAGCGTAATGTACGAAAGATTGAGAAAATTCGTGTTAGAATACTGCGTTTCACTTACGAGATGGAAAAGGATGGGAAGCTGCCCTTTCTAGATGTAACAGTCATGGAAAAGGGCGGAGGTTTCCACACTGCAGTCTACACTAAGGAAACAAACATAGGAATGTGCCTAAATGCCAAAAGCGACTGCCCAGACAGGTACAAGAGGAGTGTTGTTAACGCATATGTCGACCGTGCTCTCAGCCACAGCTCAGAATGGAAGCAAGTCGACGAAGAACTATGTAGGGTAAGGCAGGTCCTAGTCAATAACGGCTTCTCCAATGGTTTCGTCGAAGACATCATAAGAAGGAAAGTGAAAAGCCATGCAACCTCTGAAGAGACAACTAACACAACACCTATACCCCCTATTAGACTATTTTACAGGAACTTCTTTTCGACAGCTCATAAAACGGAGGAAAGGGTCCTGAAAGATATTGTTAATAGAAACGTTATCCCTACAGACAAAAATCAGAGGATACAACTGACGATTTACTATAAAACCAGAAAAACGGCCAGCCTACTCATGAGAAACTCTCCAGACACAAAACAGAACGCTTTAAAAGAGACTAACGTCGTCTATGCCTTCAAATGCCCACTTGGGGACTGTAAGCTCCAAAAAACCCAGTATATAGGCAAGACAACAACATCTCTTTCTAGGCGTTTAACGATGCATAAGCAACAGGGCTCCATTAAGGAACATATAATCTCTTCCCACAACCAAACCATCGCCAGAGAAATCCTAGTAAACAACACAGAAATCATCGATAGATACAGCGATAGCAGGCGGCTTGATGTTTGCGAGGCACTACACATCAAGAAGTCAACACCAGCAATCAACAGCCAATTATTGCACAACTATATTCTACCCACCTCAAGACTCCGCTCCAATATAGAAGCATCAAGAAATATGGACCAATAGGCTTTCTACAAACACTTCTATTCAATATCCATTGTTTCGTGTTCTGTCTTGTGTTGATGAAATTAATACCCTATTAATACCCTTGTTCTGTCTTGTGTTGATGAAATTAATACCCTATTAATACCACATTTTGTTCTGTCTTGTGTTAATGCCACATCACCCCTTCCACCTCACTCAAATGTAGATATAAAATCGGAGATACGTAAGTTCTATTCAGTTGTGTATTTGTGAACTAAAGTCTTTGAAAATGTAATAAGTTTTACGAAACGCGCCCGTGTCGCGTCAGACTAGAAATAAAAATGAATTTTGGAGAATTGATTTTTGATTTACCTCCAACAGTGAAGCGTAATGTACGAAAGATTGAGAAAATTCGTGTTAGAATTATTAATCTTACTTTTTCGGTCATATTTAATAATAATATGTCTACAGGAAAGACTGCTACCAAAATATACTTATATATATATATATATATATATATATATATATATATATATATATATATATAGTGGTACATTACCATTAAAACACAATTGCAGGTAATTTTAGCATGCATATTTTTTAAAGTGAATAAAAAACTGTACAAAAATTGTCTTGTCATCCTTCATTCGATTAACTGGATTTTCAGTTACGTTTATATCCAGAGGTACCAATCAGCTCAGATAATCAACATCACACTATCAATTTCTATCAAACACAAACATGTATACATTTCAATGAATACTAAACTTACCATTCTGGCATGGTGGCGAGCCTGGTCACCACATCCATGAACCTCTGCCATGTGATGCGACAGGCAAAAGGTGTTGCGACAAAATGGACAGAGCTGGAATATCACCGTTGTAGAGGATTTACATTGTGGCATGGAGCATGTGTTGTTTTCCTGTAAAACAAAACAAAAGTTTATAGAAATTCCAACAGTGTACAGGATGATGATCAATCAGATCTCAATAAGCCCACATCCTGATTAGGGTCGGGTTTATCTTGGTTATCTTGAGATGATTTCGGGGTTTAGCGCCCCAGCGGCCCGGTCCTTGACTAGGCCTCCTTTTTGTTACATAACCCAGGAAGCATTCCGTGGCAGCTGTCTAACTCCCAGGTACCTATTTACTGCTAGGTGAACTGGCACATCAGGGTGAAAGAAACTCTGCCCATTTCTTTCCGCCTTCACCAGGGATCAAACCTAGAATCACAGGACTATGAATCCCAACCGCTGCCCACTCAGCTGCCAGGCCCCACTCACCAGTCTGGCATGATGGCGAGCCTGGTCACCACATCTGCCTTTGCGGTTAACATCCTTGCAGCTAGCTCTTATCATAGTGAACTCTGCTTAGGTTTCTGAGAAAACTCTACTATTTTAGAAATTTAAATGAAACATTGCTTTCAAACAATAAAAACAACAAACAATTGACAAGTCGCCAGCTTCTTGTCCTCATCGAGGCCACTAGTGTTAGTGGCTCTCGGGTAAAATTGTAAAATTCAGGAAATCAAAAACTAGCACTGAATATAATGAAATGCACCTTTCTGGGTGAGCCCTGGTGGCCCCCCTGAAGCTAAAGGCAAGGCAGTAAATGAGATAAATGTCAAGCTTGGTGAAATATATACCTGCTTGATGGGGTCCTAGGAGTTTTTCTACTCCCCAAGCCCGGCCCGAGCCCAGGCTTGACTTGTAAGAGCTTGATCCACTAGGCTGTTGCTTGGAGTAGCCCTCATATTTATCACGGAATAAAATAAAGGCACACAAAAATTTATACCAAAACAGAGATGCAGAACTGTTACGGACCCGAGCCCAGCGTCCGAGCACGGAGCAGTGACGACCGCGCCATCTGTGGGTCAGCTCCCGAAACCCCCTCCAAATGGACGACGCCATCTAGTGAGGACGAGATATACTGGCCACAAGGGCTAGTTTCCCATCCTGATCAGCTCGTAACACAGCCGCTGCTGACCTCTGGTGAGGTGACGCTTAGACAGCAACGCCATCTATGGAGTGGATAGGTGGGCTTTTGTGTCTAAGCCTGTAAGCGAGGTGCCCTAGTGTGTAATCGGTACTGATGACGTGTCTGATTACAGAGTCAACCTGGGACTGCTGTAATGGAAGTTGGAGCGGTCTACCCAAGGCAGCCGTAACGTCTCCAAGTATTAGCTGCAGAAGTTGAGTCACCCCCCGGATGAACACTGTTGTGTTAGCCTGCCTGTGACGTGGCAGTTGAGGAATTGTCGTACCCGGGGCTGACTCGTGGAGAAGAATAGCCACTGGGGTGTTGTGGTGAGGAGAGTGACCTGTGAAGTCACACGAGGCTCCTGCCTAGGGTTCGCAACCCTAGTATCGGTCGTGGAGTGGCCTACGCAACGTTGCTGATTGGAACCTGCCAGCTATCGGCTGGATTTGTGGTTGACGGCCTCCACGACAGTGCACCCAGTGGGACTGTGATTTGGCTGGCCTGTGGCCAGGGTAGACTCGCCAAGGGAATCAAAGGATTCATCGTGAGGCCACAAGAGAACCAGGACCACTCGTCTTGAGCACCGTGAACGTTCAGGGTCTTCAGAGGAAGACCACATTGTACATAATAGTGTTTATACCTCCCCCGTGTGATAATCTATATATTATTTATGGTGATGGTGATAATTATATTAATAAGTTTTTGCCTTTGTCTCCCTTCCCTTTTAATTTACTTGCGTTACGGAGCACACCCCTTGAAAGCCACTACTAGCTTGGGGCCGGATACCCAAACTCTACTAACATCAGAGAAAGAACCCAGTTGCGACCCGAGAGGGCCGTAACAAGAACTAAGAAACAGGACTAGTTCAAAAGAAATTGAGAAAGGACCAGAGACCAAAAGACACAAAAATGCAATCTATACAGGAAAAAAGGCCAAACTCTCAAACATACCAGCAATACAAAGAAGCAAGAAACAACTACATGGCAATGAGAACAGAGGCAGAAAGAAATTTTGAGAAAGGGATAGTGGATAAATGCAAAAAAGAAGAAGGCTTATTCTATAAATTCACTAAAAGCAAATTGCAGGTAAAGAATGAAATTCAAAGGTTGAAAATGGGGAACAGATTCACGGAAAATTAACAGGAAATGTGTGAAACATTAAGCCCATCCTCCTGCTTAGATGGTACTTATAGTAACCATGTAGACCATTATACATATATTGACCTAATGGACAATTATAAAGTAGAATTTGGCACCACTAAATTTGGACAAACCAGAAAAGGTTTTGTATTAATGTTGCTAATAAAACCTAATCATCCTAGGCCTAATATAAGCTATCTGAGACCCAATACATGTGATATAATAGTCCTATGAATATTTAAGTCTGGTTTTTTGCTATATTTTTAACACTATCACATGCAGCGTGTGAGCGCCGCAGACTTTGACGTCATGGGGCGGACGGTGCGGGCGAGCGTGCGGCAAGGCCTAAATGTGTATACTTGTTTCAATATTCTCACCTTAATTCTCATGCTACGTCGTTCGTTTTGGTATCATTATGTTCGCAATTAAATTCCCTGCAGGTGTATATGCATATAATGTCCAAAAGCCTGGTGAGACTCCCCACAGCAAAGCCTAAAGTCGGAAAAGTTACCCATGAGCGCACAAAATCAGTAAAATGTAAAGAAATTATTTACGACTTTTGTTAGGCCAAAGCTAGAATATGCAGCGATTGTGTGGTGCCCATATCTTAAGAAGCACATCAACAAACTGGAAAAGGTGCAAAGACATGTTACTAAGTGGCTCCCAGAACTGAAGGGCAACAGCTACGAGGAGAGGTTAGAGGCATTAACCCTTAAAGTGCGCATCACATCATATGACATGCTGGACGTTGTTCCAGTCAACTGCGCATCACGTCATATGATGTGTTGGAGTACTACGCAAGATTTAAACAGCCCGCGAATACACGGGGTTCACCACATCTTCATCAGGGCTCTTGTAAACAGACGCCATTTAAAAAAAAAATCGTGGGCCAAACTCCCAGGTGTTATTGGTCTCAGTATTGAATGAGCAACCAAGCCTGACGTACACGCAGCATGAGCTAACAGCCCTGCTGTTCAGCTTGTGACCACAGCATCGCCTAAAAATGCCAAATTATACTTGTTCATGCTATTATGTAGCGATGATATTATTACAGAAGACCCCTGACTGTGATAAAACTGACCAGGGTTCTGATAATAGCAGGATTGTGGTAGTATTTAGTGCTGTGCACCATAGAGGGAGGAGTAATGCTGTGGGAGGGAGGGTGGTGGCGATGTCTTTTGACTGTGTGTGGCCACCTTTTATTGACTGCACTCAGCATACCAGCTTAGTGGTTCGCTATGGTGAACACAAATGTAGATACTTATATATAACGTGTGTATAGAGGGTATAAACAGCAAGAGAAGGTTTGGAGCCGCCATTTTGGTGAGGGCAGTGGCATCGTCTGCACGACGCCACCGTGCAGACGACGATGTTGTTTACTGGTTACCACGATGGTCTTTGGGCACCATACCAGTTTATTTGTACAAGTATGGTGAATAAAACAGGTAGATATTCATATATAATGTGTGTATATAGCGTAATAACACCACACAGTATTGTTGGAGAAGAAATATTAGTGCGTCTGGCCTTGAGGGCGGCCGCCGATCAGCTGAATGTGTGAGTAGACACATCTTTGTGCCTTTACTCACCATACAAGCTTAGATGTACAGTTATGGTGAACAAAACATGTAGATACTTATATATAACGTCTGTATATAGTGAATTATAGCAAAAACATTATTGTGGGAGGAGAATGTGGGTGAGTCAGATGACTGGAGGGAGGGCGGGAGTGGCTGGCTGGTAAACGGCGGTCACTCCTCGTTACTTTTTGACTCATAATAGCTACTTAGTGGTTCGTTATAGTGAACAAAACATGCAGATGCTTATATATAACCTGTGCTTATAATGTAATAACCGACAAAGTATTTAATCACTGATTGATGAACATAATTGAATCAACAATATGCACACCATATTTTTGAGTACAGCAATGATTCACTCATTTTATTATATAAATATATCAAACTACACACTATTGAATAATATTACAGCAAAAAAAAGTATGAAAAATCAATCAGATACATTGAAATAATTCGGTAATTATCTCTTTGTGGCAACTCCGGCCTGACAGCTTGCGAGCAACAGACCGCCTGGGACGCACGCTGAGTCAGTGCCTATAATTTGCCAGACTTCCCCGCCCTATAGCGGGCAATATATGCCACTTACGAATTTTTTATTATTTTTCCCGTGATCAGTGAACACAAATTAACAGGTTAGGAAGAAAAAATAATTTTTTTTTTTTTCAAAATGACATGCGCCTGTGGGGATGACAGGATATTAAACCCCGAGCATGTTAATGGTTAAATATGCCAAAACTAGAAGACAGAAGAAAAAGAGGTGATATGATCACTACATACAAAATAGCAACAGGAATTGATAAAATTAATAGGGAAGATTTCCTGAGACCTGGAACTTTAAGAACAAGAGGTCATAGATTTAAACTAGCTAAACACAGATGCCGAAGAAATATAAGAAAATTCACCTTCTCAAACAGAGTGGTAAACGGTTGGAACAAGTTAGGTGAGAAGGTCTCTGTGTAATTACCTAAGTGTAATTACCCAAGTGTAGTTACAGGATAAGAACTACGCTCGTGGTGTACCGTCTTCCCAGCACTCTTTGTCATATAACGCTTTGAAACTACTGACCGTCTTGGCCTCCACCACCTTCTCACTTAACTTGTTCCAACCGTCTACCACTCTATTTGCGAAGGTGAATTTTCTTATATTTCTTCGGCATCTGTGTTTAGCTAGTTTAAATCTATGACCTCTTGTTCTTGAAGTTCCAGGTCTCAGGAAATCTTCCCT